TTTGGTCGCAATCAACTTTTCACACAATCCAATATAGCGTAATTATGACTGCACTCATAATTAACAAAGTTTTGCAGAAGCAGATACTGAAAATAAGTATTCTTTCTTCCATGATCCATGGCCAAAGACACGAATAGATGTCTACTGCTCCCCTACTTCGTTAAAATATAACAGTGTTTTGAAATTAATTTTATTATATATTTTGACATTACACTTACTTTATATGACCCAAAAAATTCATCAAGTATTAATATCTAATTTAAAAAATCTAATTATTGATATAATGTTCGTTATTGCAATTTCTTGAAACACTAGTAAATAAAATTAACCTTTTCATACATAAAATAAAATAACATCCTTTGAAATGTTGTACATAATTTATAGTCAAATAATATACCACTATGTTTATTCATAATTAGGGTACATATCGTCGATACATCAGTGCATTTAGGAATGATTTTTAAGTATGAACATTAAAAATTCAAATTTTCATTACCCAAAGAGTTAATTTCATCAGTCATTTTTCTTAAATTTTGTTGTTCTCACTCGAACACAAAATTTAAAAGTTAAACGGTAGGAATATTTAGTAGACATCCCCCTGTATTTACTCCTTTAGATGACATTGTGTGAGGGAATGAGAAGGAATATATAATATATAGGAATGTGAGGTTGCACTGTGAATTGTACTGAATTGTGCAGTGGACAAATGGTTAGTTCACTACACAGCCCCAAGGTAGCAGGCATATTACATGTTTTTGCAGACTGAACCAACAGTGTATCCACCACGGAATCACCACAAACTAAATTTTACCTGCTGTCCTAAAGTCCATCCAGTTCCAAAATGACCCCATCTTGCAGTATGTATATTGGATAAAATATTCAAATGTATATTAAATAAAATTAGTGAACTAAAAATTAAAATTTAAAATAATCAAAATCTAATTGTTTATATATATATATATATATATATATATATATATATATATATAGCTTTGATATATATATATATATATATATATATATATATATATATTGGAAAAAAATGGATAAAGCTTAAAAAACAAAAACCCTTCTAATTACTATAACACTTTTTGAAAAAATCAAATTTATTTTTTAATCAGGGTTTCAAACTCAGACCTCCTTTATCTGAATATTTGTTGCAAAAAAAAAAAAATACTTCTTTTGTCACTACTCTAGAGTAGAAAACTCCATATCTATTCCATTTCTTCTTTGCTAGATGCTTATATCCTAAACATGATGGAATATGTTTATACTATATTGTGACCTGGACATGAGGATATTGGTGATTGTGTTTTAAGGATTTATTAGGCTAATCCTAAATATCATATTTATAAAACAAGAAAATAATCTATAATAATATACCGAAACCTATTTGGGACTCATTAAAACAGGTATACACAAACAACATAATCAAGAACTTTTCAAAAATTGTCAACGTTCCATGAATATTTCAACAATATGACCTTACAACCTTGACAAATACACCACATTTTAATCTTTGATTCACAATCACCCCCATTGACTTATTTTATCTCTATCCTCTTCCCTATTGCCTAGCTGACAGAAAGTGAATCTCTTACTTCACCTAAAATACATCATTACTCAAATGCTATAAAGGAAGTCAAAGACATGAAACAGTGACGGTGTGGTGGCAGCGAGCGTTCAAATGTGAACAGCCAATTCTGCACAACCTAATCCATAGGCACTGGAGCCTTATTAATTAATTTTAAAATGTTCAAATTATAAAATCCATGAAGATAAATATGTTTATAAATAAAATGCTGAATAGCAGTAATTCTGTATTAAAAGAATAATAAATGAAATACATGATACAACAATAAATTAAATATACCACAAAATAAATGAATGAATTAAAATTAATAATATTTCTTATTATACAAAATAATGAGATAAATAAAAACTACTTTACACTAAAATTACAGTTGTAAACCATACAGTTAAATAAATCCGTTGGTCTACATAAATTTCTACTCTTTATGAGCATGATTTTAAATTGTTTGAATTATGTAAATTAATTTATTATTAAAATAATAACATAGAGAGAACTTACATAAATTTAAAAATTATATTTTTATATAATAACAAAAAAAAAAAAAAAAAAATAGAATATGGTGGAATTACACTATGAGTGCAGTTCTGATAATGTAGTATGAACTAGTCTTCAAGTTAAAGTACAGCCTCAATGTGAGTTGTCTTAATTACGAAAAATAATGTTTTGTCTTTCACCTATTAAACTGGGCACCTAGGGGTTCCTAAAATGTCTTTTACGGGGGCGCTACTTACCTTAAAATGTTCATAATTGAATTAAACAAAATCACCTCCAGCCATCCAGTCATAATTGTGATTCAACGTCACTGTGGTGCTGCTGACGGGAGTCCTTGTGTGGGAAGTCGCCGTCACAACCTGGTCAGATGAAATCATGGGTTTTACAGGAGGAATTGTGACGAGACGGAGAACCTCATGGAGGTTGTTCCTTACATAGCTCTACCAGCCGCCATAAATTATAAATTATCCTGGTAATGTTTAATTTTTGCATTCGCTGATATTATGTGACACGACGAGAGGCGATCTGGCACAGAAGTGGCCGAAAATTTGTTGGCACATATCGGAATGTATAATTAAATGAAAATACAATGGTTTGTCGTATAATGGTATGGAAACAAACAAACAATAAATTTAAATAATAACAAACAACTAAAAATGACCCCCATATTATGATATGGACACAAAATTAAAATAACTATTTCATGCTGGCCACAACAGACTGGATATGTGCCAGATGCTCACTATTATATCAAAATTGCAAAAGAATAAATAATAAAACCTAAGTTTTAGTATTTCTTGAAAAAATTTATGTGAAAAACTTATTCTTAACTTAGGTGTTTATTTACCTTGAAATAAAATCCTGATGTAAACAATGATACTTTTTTACTTATACTCATAAGTTATAATGCTTGTTGGAGGTATTTTTGTAAATTGCAATTTGAAAAGTTGTATAATCCCTTTATTTTTCAGAAAGATCCCTTGAGCAACAAGGAAGAACAAGTTAACAATCATTCTGTAAGTTCCTAATTATTTGAAATTGTCAATTTTAAATTATTTATTTATTAGATATATATGAATAAACAATTAGTCATTTGATAAATTAATACATTTTGTTTACAATAGCACTGTACTCTTTGGAAGTTATTTCTTTCAAGATAAATTAAGTTTAAATCTGTTAAATTTCTTTAATTTTTAAACAAAGTGTCATTTTCTTACAATTTAAAAAAAAGTATAAATAAATGAACACTACTCTTTAAGTTGCAACATTAAGTTGCAAATGTTAAGGGTTGATGTTATTATTCTTCAAATTAGAAAAGAAATGAGAAAGTCAATGTTATTCATTTCTCTATAAGTTGTATGAAATTATTTGTTGTCTGGGCTCAACTCTAAAACAGTGAAATCACAGTTGTAAATTTTATATTTTATTAATATATTTACTTTAAATATGATGGTATATTCAATAATTTATCTATCTTACAAGGGAAAGTTACGGATGTGGGGCCACTAATCTCAACGAAACATTTTTTGGTGACACTATGTCCACAAATATTGGATCCATGTCTGAGGGTTCTTACCAATGCTCCCTAGGACCTGAGAAAAAAAATGTTTTATATAATTTTAAACATAATTTATGTTATTAATTTTTGACTTTGCTTTGCACCAATTTTTAGGTTATTATATATCAATTGATGATTTTTTTTTTAAAGAAAAAAATATTAACTATGGTGTTAACTGATTTATAAAGTATCTTATTTACCAAAAACCAAAGGGTACTTCCAGTAAAACAGGCCAAGTAAATTTTTGTTACGAAAAAGAAAGTTAGATTCATTTTTAGTGTTCTTTAAAACCCTTAAATACAAATTTTTATTGAAAACAAAATTTCAAATTTTAGAACATGATTTCTTGGAAGATTGTTTTTCCAGCTGTTACCTGAAGCATTCATAACTTCTCAAGATTTTCTCCAAATTTAATGTCTAAACAACCATTGGAATTATGAATTATTGCTCTTCCAAAGAAGGTCAATAAGTTTAGGATTTTATTCCTTTTTAAACTAGACATTTAGAAAACATTTTCATTTTATATCTCTGGTTCTAGTTTGTTTACGGAGGTCGAGCTTTTTTTTTTTTTTTTATAACTTATTTATAACTTATTTAAAATATTACAATCTGTCTCAAAGGACATTTATAATAGTGATCAGAGATCACATTCATACTCTATGTACAATAAATAAAATAAATTATACAGAAAAATAATATATTATATACTAAATAAGAATAAAATAACCTAAAAATAAATAAATAAAAAGAACACATACATACCTATATACACTATTTATAATCAGGCGAGAGAACTTCGAGCCAGACTTGTCCCTCCAACTGTGGAGAGAAAAGCATGAATCCAGGAGATCCCAGCACTTCTCTCTCAACCGTGTCACTGGGGCTAAATCCATTGGAGATTGAGCAAGGGTGCTTTAGGCACATACATTCATGTCGTGAGTGGAGAATCTGGCCATTGCCAGAACTCCAATATTTACAAATTATAAAAGGTCTCGGGGCCACTGCCGTTTTAACCTTCTTGGAGGATTATAGGGATGGGTGGTGCTGGATAGGGATTGAGAAAAAGGATTTGTATGATAGGAAAGGTTCTGGTGAAATTTGGAGAATTTTGCTGGGATAAGGTCTTGGACAAATGGGATATTAAGGTTATGGTGTAGAGTTTTGTTGGTTACATAGAAAGGAGCATCGACTATTGTTTGAAGGACTTTGGATTGGAAGGATTGGATGCGTTTGATGTTAAAAAATTTTGCTGTTCCCCACAGTTCAAGTCCGTAGTCCGAGTAGGTTTCAGTATTGTCTTGTAGATAAGTATTTTGTTTTCAATAGAGAGTGTAGATTTTATATTTAGTAGTATGTATAGTTGGCCATATCGTCGGTTAAGTTCCTGTCTTTTAAGTCTAGTATGAGGGTTCCACGTTAGTTATCTGTCTAAGAGGAAGCCAAGATACCGGACTGTGTCTGAGAAAGGAAGCTGCGTGGAATTAAAGTGTGGAATTGCGCCGGAGTGTGAAGATAATGTGTTGGCATTTTGATTCATTTACTTTAATACGCCATTTATTACACCAGTGCTGAATCACGGAGAGGTGTCTTTAAAGGTTTAAGAATGCTATATCAGGATCTAAGTCGGATGATAGAATGGCGGTATCATCAGCAAAAGTTGCCAGGAAGGTATCGGGATAGACAGGGATATCGGCGTTAAAGAAGATGTGAAGGATGGGAGCCATTACGCTACCTTGAGGAACACTCAGTTGGATAGCAATTTGAAAATTCAGTACCGCAGCGAACTTGGAAGGTACAATCTGAGAGGTAGGAACAGAGGACAAGGTATAAGGACTGAGGCTGATGGGTTCTAAGTTTGAAAAGGAGCCCGGCATGCCATACCCGGTCAAAAGCTTGAGCTATGTCCAGAAATGCACCGGAGCAATATTGCTTGCTTTCCAGAGCTGTGGAAATATGATCGACCACTCGAAGTCCTTGTTGGACTGTGGACTGTGGAGTGTTGGGAACAGAATCCGAACTGGTGTGAAGGAAGATTTTGAGATTCTATAAAGGGTAGGATTCTTTCAAGGGTTTTTGAAAGGATTGGAAGTAGGCTAATGGGTCTGTAGGAAGTTAACCTGTTGGGAGCTCTACGTACCTGTTAGTTAAGCTGTTAGAGCTCTACGTACTTAATAATTGTTGTAAGAGACATGGTGAAGTTATCATGATTTTTATGGTTGTCGACAAAATTTTGAAGGGTCCACCTAGACAAAAATTTCGTGTAAAAAATGTTATTATTTTTTCGATTTATTTAAAAATTCATATTTAACAGTTTTCTGAGGTGCAAGAAATGAATATTAACCTTAGTTTATCACTAAAAAAATGTTTACTCCAGATACCTAGCCGGTTTAGAAAAAATATTATATTTGCCGGATACCTTTTGCATGGGAAAAATTGGACCAAACAACATAAGTAAATATTTTTTATTGAAAAACAAAGTTGATATTTGTATGTTATTACAGATTAATAAATATTTTATGTTGTGAGATCAGCAGAACAAAAGTGTGAGGTATTGGGTTGTTCAGAAAATAATGCAGGCTTTGGGTTTAAAAAGAAAAAAGAAAGATTTACAGCTGTTTTATTCAATCAAAATAGTCTCCACTACTGTCAATACATATTGGCAACTTTACCATTCCCTCGAAATATAATTTCCCATCTTTAGAATTGATAAACTCCAAAAACGCATTTTCTAATTCCCTTTGTCCATTTAATTTTTTGTCACGTAAGTAGTGGTCCAGGTGTCTAAAAAATTATAACCCATAGGCGAGAGTTCCGAAGAGTTGGGCGGATGTGGCAGAGTTTTATATCCAAGCTCCAACAGTTTTTGTAATATCACATGTAAGACATGTGGCTGGGTGGTGTCATGCAACAAAATGGGTCCCTTCTGAGTGACCAGAGATGGCTTCATTATTGCCAATTTCTGATGCATTGCATTAATTTGGTTACAATACGGTTTGGCATTGATGGTTTTGTTTCTCCAGGATTTAAGAAGCTGTAGTGTATCAAACCAAATGAAGCCCACCAAACAGTAACCATCACCTTTTTTTGATGAGTTGGGGGCTTTGGAAAATGTTCTGCTGCTTCTCCTTTGGAGCCACTGTCCAGAACATCTGCTGTTATCGTAAAGTATCCACTTTTCACCACAAGTAACAATTCTGGTCAGAAAAGGGTCGTTTATGTTTTGACAAAGAAGTGTAGCACAAACTTCATAACTCTGGTTTATTAGGCAGTCGTTCAATGTATACGGAACCAACTTTAAAACTTTTATACTTTTCCAATCGCCTTGAGGTGGTCATCGACCATCGATTTTCTAAGCTTGTGTTTCTCTGCAAGTTCTCGAAAAGTTGTTCTGTGGTTTTCTTCCACCAAAGCCCGCATAAGATCCTCATCAAGAGAGGAAGTCCATCCACGACCTTCTTTGTCTTGAAGGCTGAATTTTTTTTTTAACTACCATTGAACAGTGCACTCATTTGGTGCTACTCTCGCCCCAGACTTGATACTGTCTGGGCTCCATTCCGGCTGAGTTTAAATTCGTAAAACAAAATTATACGAAAATCACGCGTTGACATCTTAGTAAAGTCTGAATTATTTCTAAGCAACGAAATGCTACAGTTGTAAATAAACATTATCATTTGGAAGAGGATTAATAAGTGTTGACATTCATACAAATGAATAATCCAGTAAACGTAAACAGTTTGTTATATAGAGGGTTATTTCAAAGAAAACTCAAAATCCTGTATTATTTTGCATACAATCCAATATTTCCTCAAATTTCAAAAGATAATGAAAACATGTTTTCAGTATTTATGTCAAGTAGAATTAGGACCAAACTTTCCATAACTAATTTTTTTCAGAAAAGTGGCTCTTCAAGACCAATTTTTCAATAGTTATCATACCCATATATTTATATTCATTAATCACCTCAACAATTCTGATGGTAGGTTGTCTATCTCTGTGGCCTTTCTTGTTTTGAGCCTTTTTATAGCTATTTCTACATTCAGTATATCTGGTTTTTCAACCGCTTCTGAGTCAAGGTCCTCAGTGTAGTCTATGTCTTGTTTGTTTGTGGAATCTCCTTGATTGAGAAGTTCCTGGAAATGTTCTTTCCAGATGTTCAATATACTTTCTTTAAGTGCTGTCAGAATGCCATCTTTATCTCGCATTTGTGCTAGTCGTACAATCCATCATCATTTATAGGTTAAATATACAGATGCACTTTCCAATCTCTCTATACGTATATGAGGCTTTCTGTTGACAGAATGACTAACTCCAATTTCAACATTTTTTATTGATATCTCTATTGAGGTGGTCATCGACCATCGATTTTCTAAGCTTGTGTTTCTCTGCAAGTTCTCGAAAAGTTGTTCTGTGGTTTTCTTCCACCAAAGCCCGCATAAGATCCTCATCAAGAGAGGAAGTCCATCCACGACCTTCTTTGTCTTGAAGGCTGAATTTTTTTTTTAACTACCATTGAACAGTGCACTCATTTGGTGCTACTCTCGCCCCAGACTTGATACTGTCTGGGCTCCATTCCGGCTGAGTTTAAATTCGTAAAACAAAATTATACGAAAATCACGCGTTGACATCTTAGTAAAGTCTGAATTATTTCTAAGCAACGAAATGCTACAGTTGTAAATAAACATTATCATTTGGAAGAGGATTAATAAGTGTTGACATTCATACAAATGAATAATCCAGTAAACGTAAACAGTTTGTTATATAGAGGGTTATTTCAAAGAAAACTCAAAATCCTGTATTATTTTGCATACAATCCAATATTTCCTCAAATTTCAAAAGATAATGAAAACATGTTTTCAGTATTTATGTCAAGTAGAATTAGGACCAAACTTTCCATAACTAATTTTTTTCAGAAAAGTGGCTCTTCAAGACCAATTTTTCAATAGTTATCATACCCATATATTTATATTCATTAATCACCTCAACAATTCTGATGGTAGGTTGTCTATCTCTGTGGCCTTTCTTGTTTTGAGCCTTTTTATAGCTATTTCTACATTCAGTATATCTGGTTTTTCAACCGCTTCTGAGTCAAGGTCCTCAGTGTAGTCTATGTCTTGTTTGTTTGTGGAATCTCCTTGATTGAGAAGTTCCTGGAAATGTTCTTTCCAGATGTTCAATATACTTTCTTTAAGTGCTGTCAGAATGCCATCTTTATCTCGCATTTGTGCTAGTCGTACAATCCATCATCATTTATAGGTTAAATATACAGATGCACTTTCCAATCTCTCTATACGTATATGAGGCTTTCTGTTGACAGAATGACTAACTCCAATTTCAACATTTTTTATTGATATTTCTATTGAGAAAATTTATATTCACTGTTCTATATTTCAACACTGCAATCACCTACTCTGGAATCAACTTACTCATAGTCTGTACAGATATTATCAATTTTTCAACTAGAAATATTACTAAGATGACAATACTAAAAAATGTTGATATTGGAGTTAGTCATTCTGTCAACTGAAAAGCACATATAGCTCAGAGACTGGGGTTATGTGGTTTACAAAAACACATGAAGTAACAAGGTCTTTGTTGCCTACCGTTAATATAATAAATATGTTTGTTTTTTTATTGTAATGGTCTTAATGATTTGTTAGCTTTAAGTTTTAGCTCTGTTTAAAATGCACTTCAAAAATTTTATAATAGCCCAGCATTGCCAGAAAATAATTTCCATTCAAAGTAGAGCAGTAAGTGAAAGTTGTGTGTTGCGCGCACCAGATTTTTTAAAAATTTAAATTAACCACCTTTCTTTTTTTTCATTACAGCTAGCAAGAAGATCCAGTGAATCAGACTGGGACCAACTGAGATGGTCCAACAGATAAATTTAAGTATTAAATTAGCTTATATATGTGTAATATGATGGCATAAATAAGTGGTTATTTATTTATTTATTACTTAATGTAGCCCCTTCTCCAATTTTCATATCCTTGGTTGTAGATTGATGATACCAACTACCACACATGTATTATGTATGCATCTTCTGAATATATATATGGTAGGACCATGGTCTAAGTTTAGTTTGTAAACATCTCTTATAATATCAATTAGTTCATTAATAATTGGTAGATTAAAAAATATATCATAACCAAATAAAAATAAATGCTTAGTAACTTCAGACAGTGGGGGATCATTGGCAAGTATTATTTAAATAATGTCAATAGTTACAAATACATTTTCCACTTTTCTTTGGTTTCAAGAATTTATTAGTCTATTATAACTAAAAATATAAAGCCAAATAAATATAAGTTGGAATTGGCAATAATTATGGGTAACAATTATAGGTTACTTTTTTGACAGTTTTTAATTTATCTATACTTTAATTATTTAGTTTTACTGTCAAATATGCATCACATTTGTAGTTCATCTATATGAAGAAAAGTTTTTTGTGAATATTTTCACTTTTAATTATTTAAATAATCAAGCCGGCTGAAAATTTCTAATTCTAGTAATTAGCTCTGCTCCTGTAGGTGACAATTACTGAAGAAAAAGGTCCTATTATATAACTAATTATAGAGTCAGTTTATGTTAATGAAGAGTAATATTTTTTTAATGATCCACTATTTTTTATTATTATTAATTTGAACTTGTTTATTTGTTCTTTATCCAAATTTGTGGAACCTTGTATGAATTAAATACCATCATGCACTGGCTAAATTAATTTTTACTTTCTAAAATATTAGTCCTAACCACCTATTTATCCACAAAAAAAAAATTAAATTTCCACCTATTCAGGCTGTCATGATTACGCTGTAAATCAGTTCAGTTGATGTGTAAATCTATCAGAGCTTTTATTGATACTGTGTACTATAGCTTTAGTTAATAAGTCCCTTTGATGTGAGAGCATGAAGGGAAAGAGAGCTGTTTTTTAATATTTATTTTATTATTTATTGTTATTATTTTTTTATGTGTTATTATTCTAAAAGATTTATAGAAATAGTAAAGAAGGGAAGGTGGATATACAAAAAGAACAAAATACTATTCTGTGGAAAAAAGGTTTCTGTTTTCTGTAGCTATACTGGTTTAGGGCACTCGCACTATGTAAATTTATAGTCAAATATTATGTCTGTTGGAGGGGTCAAGGTTCACACCTTTTGTCAAAATAGGGTTTGGAAAATTTTATTGCTGTGAAAATGACAATATTCACAGCCAAGAGATCATAGAAGAAAAAGTACATTTGAAAGTTCTTTGTTTCTGAATAAATATATTGATATCCATAAAATATCGATGTAATAAGAAATTGTCATATTTTTTTTTTTTTTTTGTGACTGAAAAATATTTTTTGTATTATATAGATATGTTGAGAAGGAGTTAGTCGGGGGTGCGGTCAAATAAATACTAAATTAAAATATATTAATTATTTTAATTTTTGCCGACGTTTCGACCCACTTTGCAGGTCGTCTTCAGGGCGTAGGATGTAGCACTGCGGGAGGCAGTTGAAACACTGGAGTGAAATCCCCGACTAACTCCTCATATTATATCAACGGTCAACCATCTTTACATCATTATATAGATATGGTTATATCCCCCATGTAAAATTTAAGCTTTATATATTTAAATAATTAAATTCATTCTCCTTGCTTTTATTATTATTATATATGAACATTTCATGACTTTATAATATCTGCAAAGATGATAAAACATAATGCAAAGAATCATTGAAAAATAAAAATCATACACCTTCAATAGTTTTAATGTCCATTATAAATAATGAGGGGTAAATTATCTGCTAAAATATTTAATATAGGGTGTGTATCCAGGAACCTTGATTTCCTTGAAGATTGGGATTTGTACTTGAATTTTTCGTGTCTGTAAAAAGTCGGAAATTATGCTTGAAAAACGGCCAGTCGTTGGGTATTTTTAGTATGTTGTCAATTAATTTTCTTTGTTCATTAAAACTTAACAAAAACTGTATAAAATATTGAAAAGAAGGTTGATCTCATAGTTTTCTTTTCAATATCTAATTTCAAGAATGCTGGAATGGAAAGATGCTTCTCTAAGGCAGCTTTACTCACTACTACTTATCGTCCATCTTGTCAGAATCGAAACCATTAATTAAAATGGAATATATAAACAATGGAAAATAATAAATATTATCAAATCAGTATGAAGTTTATGACTGAATCAGTAGTTTGGTTAGTGAGAATTCATAAAATCAGACAGACTAAAAATTGTATGCATAGATGTTGGGAGTTAAGAAGTATTTGAGGAAGGGCATAACATAACAGTAATGCATGGATTTTAGAATTAAATATAATGTGATACATGAACGAGTAGTCCAGCCCTTAATTTTACATATCAAACTAATACTATACTAAGTGAATCTTTGAATCTACAATCTTACAACTTCCTGGTGGAAAATCGTGGAACAAAGTAAAAATATCATTAAAAAACAGTTTGTATTAATTCACCTTTAGGGCAATTTTGAACATTGGCATAAATAAAAGCAAAACGAAGAGAGGATGATGATTTCAATAGTATCATACAGTATTATTCGAATACATTTTTATCTAGATAATGAATAATAGATATATTTTTATTCTTTATTCGATTCCTTTTAATAGATGATTTATTTGTTATTTACAGGTAGAACAAGCAATTTTCTGACTGTTAAGAGGTAGGTCAATGAAATGGGAGTGAGAAAAATTTTAATTCATTTTTCCTTTTTTATCTCGTGAATGGATGTTCGATTTTTTCACCATTCCAACAGTTTTCGCGTTTTTGAGAAATAGGCAAAAACAGAAAAAATGGTGCAAACATTTTTCCGATTTTTCATTTTCCTCTTTTCTCGTTAATCATCATCTCGTTGATCCTCTGGTTAATGGATGATCGGTTTTTCACCGTCCCAACAATTTTCTGACTGTTTATAGGTAGAAAAAAATGGGGAAATGGTGTAAAAAAATTTCCCTAATTTTCATTAGCTTTTGGGTGAAAAACTTTAAAAAAACGATTATTCATTAATGAGAAAAAACAGGGTAAGAAAATGAAAATTTAGAAAATTGTTTACACCCTTTTGTCTACAGCAGTTGATTTGCATACCTCTAAACAATCTGTGAATTATTTGAACAGCAAAAAAACAATCATCCATTAACAAAATAAGGGAGGAAAAGGGAATGAAAATTCAGAAAATTGTTGGAACAGTGTAAAATCTGTTCATGTGATAAACAATGAAAAGCTAATGAAAACTCAGGACATTGTTCTAACAGTGAAAAATCTATCATTCCCTCATGAGATAAAACTAACGAAAATTTGGAAACTTTTTACACTACTATTTCCTTTAGCCTACATCTAAAGGTCGGAAAATTGTTGTATATATATATATATCATGTTTCTATTTTAAACATTCTTTTTTTTTCCTTTTTAGAATTATTTAAGTTACATAAAAATAAACAAAATATTACAATGATATAATACTAGTGTAGGGCAAAATTTATCTTAAAGAATAAGTAATAGATAACAAGTGATTTATTTGTATTTCCAACTAAAAAATAATTTATATATTTTTTATCTTTTATTTTAAATAATAAATAATCTGAAATTATTTATCTTTTTATTGGTTAATTGAGTTATTAAAGTAAAAATTTGAATAATTGAATTGTAAATTTCTTTCAGCAAGCCTGCTTAAAAGGAAAAATTGTGTAAAACATTTTTCAAATTTTCATTCGCTTTTCCTCTTTCATTCCATAAATGGATAATCAGTTTTTCACCATTTCAACAATTTTCCGACTGTTTATATGTATATTTAATTTTTTTCCTAAACTAAAAATAATAGCATGATCACTTATGAACTGGACACTATTTGTTTTTGACCTTCACATATTTTTTTATCTAAATGTGTTTAACTCGTCGTCTTTGCTACCAAGTTTAAACTCCATAGTTTCTGCTCTCTGAATATCAAAAAATAGCTACTGAATTAAGGGTTTCTCAAAATTTTAACAAGTATGGAAAGCTTTGGGAAAGTATTTTAAGATGGTCTTATTATTTTAATACATTTATCATAACTTCATAGCGATCTCTGATCAGTTTTTGCCGTGTTGAAATTCAAAATGGAATTCATTTAGGTCAATATTTGCAGTGAAAAAATTGAAAATCTTATGTTTGTGTTCTTTGGTTCCAAAGAAAAAAAAAGTGCTATAAGTTATTTGAATGCTTTCATCACAGATCTTGTTGTAACACAATTATTTGTTATATAAAATATTTCAAAATATATTTTTCTTCAGTTGTAAAATCATAAACACAATTGTTTTAGGATTTTTTGATGTTCCCTACAGGCATGATAACTAATGTCGCCCCTTTCAATCGTTTCTATCTCGAAAAATTGCCATAGCATTATTGCTGGAAAATAATTCGAGATCATTATTTTATTTTTATTTGATTGAGCTGTTCTTTTTACATTTAAAAACTTGTTTGAATCTAAAAAAATAGTTCCAAACTATCCATTATATAGGTCATAAATTGTAGGAAACATTCACTTTTAGATTGTTAAAGATACTTAGACTTTCTGGTCAGATTCTTCACTAGGTTCAATGTATTTTGGCTTTCTAGTATTCATCAAACTGTCTCCTAAGACATGTGGCTCAACAGGTGTACCAACAATGAATTTTGAAATAATCTTTTTTTATTTTTTGCATTGGTACATAATCTTTGCTTACTTAACTAGTTTGAGATTGAAAAGATTTCTAATCTGTCCATTGTCAGTTTTTAAACCAGCCATCAACAAGATAAAACAGTAATTAAGATAATGAATATGAGAGAAATGGATATTTGTGAGGGGGAGGGAGTATATATACTCTGGCTACATCTCAGTATTGTTGACAGCAATTCCTTTAAGTTTATAGGTATCCTAAAATATGCAAAAATATACTTTTAATGGAAACATTTGAAATTTTGCCTAAATAATATAATGAACCAAAAATCACAATATTTTAATTAAAACTGTACACGTTAATGTCTATTGATGAATTTCTGATAATTTATTAGAATCAATTTCTCGAATGATTCTCTGATTTTCTCTTTCACCACCAGCATACAAATATTTTGTTTTCTGTTTGTGCACCTGTAATCCAAACTCATGCTAGACCTTCCGAAAGCCACAAAGGCTTCCAGTAGCAACTATAATTTTTACTATTACTAACAGAGTTACAAGGTTTTTTCATTCCACTGTTGATTTACAAAAAAAAATATGGAAGTAAAATATAAATTTTGTTATAAAAAATAATTAAATAAAATTTTGTTTTTTTAATTTTGTCAATTAATTTTCTTTGTTCATTAAAACTTAACAAAAACTGTATAAAATATTGAAAAGAAGGTATTATCCAATAAAATTTTTGGAATCCAATCACACTATTTTTAGTGTGAATTTAATTTTTTAAGCAATGTGTTGACCATTCTGTGTTAAAAGTTTGATAACTATTTTTCATTATCTAACAGGGTAGCAACTGTTTTCAGAAGCTGACCAAATAATTTTTTTTATTTAAATATTATCAAATAAATTAATGAGAAGCGCCTAGAATTTTTCAGTTGACAGTCTTGAGATCCTTAAATTATACTTTAATTTTTTCATGCCACATCACTGAACATCCTGTAATGGTACAGTTGGAATTACTTATAAAAACGAAAAAGACAAAAAGAGGAGGACTAACTCTGTTGAACATAGGCATAAATTTACCTAGGATACACATCAATCAATGGAGAGATTTCGCTATCGGTATTACTCCTGAATCAGTTATAAAACATATCTATTCTATTGATAAAAAATTTAGATGCTATTTAACAAGTTCAAATCCTTCTTGCCATCCTGCCCATTGAATATGTTTTTGCTTCTAACATAACAATCAGCCACTAAATGGATTAGTCTATTCTATATAATTAGGTTTTCATCCAATCTAACACAAGGGCATTCAACCTTTTTATGACAGGTGCCACAACTGTACCTCCTGCTGATTACCCTCAGACCTTTACAATAATATCTATTGGTATAGGTGCTTATTTTTAAAAATATTTTTCTTTTTGAAATTTTTATATAATATCTTTGTAATAAAATATATAAACAGTGATGGTAATTTTGGTAACTATATAAAAAATGTTGATTCTAAAATAACACATTATCCCAGAATGATAATTTCAGGAAAACAAAACCAAAATTTAAAAAATTAGAAACCTTAAGTCTAATTCCAGGCCAGCTGAGCCAATCCCAAACCCACGGCATGCCATATTGTGGAATGTGTGACTTAGGTTGGCACCCCTGCTCTGACTCTATCTATCTTTCATCAACACATGTTAAGGAATAATCATTTTTCTCAAATCACCTAAAAACTCATTATTATTCTTTAATGATTTCTCTGATACCTTGATTTCATGCTATCAAAGATCCTTCAGCTCCTAATTTCTTTATTTACCCTTTTCCCTCTATTTTGACTGTTTCCTGATTTTCAGGTGGTGTAAAATAACCTTGTAACTTCACATATTTATTGTTAAACATTTCATTACATTGTACTCTAAATGATATTTATTTAAATTAAACTGCTTGAGGTGTTTGTTCACTGTACATATAAACATACGCAGTTTAATTAAACATTTGTAAAGTACTGAAGTTACCCTTTGTGACATCAAAATTGTAAAGAATCTGTTGCTATTGACAGATACCACATGTGTAATTAATATTACTGTACACAAAATTTATATTTTTACAATTTTTAGTGTAATTCTTCAATTTTTGTCTGTTTCTCAATTTAGCAATATGCACCTTTTTTTATAATTGTGTTATCTACAATATTTCAAAATTTTGATTCAATATCATGAATATCAAATAAAGAATGATGTTTCAAATAGTAATATAATGTATATTTTTCTCTTCCTTTAATTTATTTTAGTTGAGGAACTGGATTACTGTATATCTTATTTTTTGTATTATAATGCAGAGCTTATGAACAAAAAACAAAATCCATATATACCAGAGCCCACCTGCTTAAACATTTTTTACCCGGTATAAATCTGCTTTAATTTGAAAATAATTTTGATATTGATATTTGTGATATAATTTTTAAGGCCATTATTTGCTTTATAACTGTAGCATCAGTTGAGTTTTAAGTTTAAATATTTTCCAATAAATTTTGAAGAATGAAGCCAATGTTTTTTTGTTTTTTTTTAAGTTAAATTATTCTCCTATATTGTAATTAGTTGTTAATATATAATAAAATATTTTTAAAAGTATAACATGAATATTACATATTTGTTTTACTTTTATTCCTTTAAGAAATAAAAACAACAAAACCTGTGATGATTAATTGATATTTTCTATTATTTAATACTGCTGTGTTCTCGAAGTAGAAAGCTTTTAGAATTAATGATCTCTTTATTAAAAATATTCAAACAAAATGTATTCATTAACATTACAAAATATGCTTAATACATATTTTTAATATGTTCAATTGATAGCTATGATTAACATAAGTTTTATATTTTCATTTACATCTTTCTATATTTAATTTGTTTCATATATTCAGTGAATTCTGAATTTAATGTCAATAGATGTAATAAAGCTTTAATGATGATTTTATAATACAATTTCTTATGGCTCTTCTCGGGTTTGTGAAATGTTCTTATACTTATTGTGACTTTTTGTATAATTAATTGTCAATTGAGTAACTCTATTTGTCTCTGTAAAGGTCAGGTAAAGCGTTCAGTATTTACTTAATTAAATATGTTGCAGTATTATTTTATATGTAAATAACTGAATTTTATATGTAAAAATATGTAAATTATTTTTATTTTTAAGTATAATAATCTTTAAGGAGTCTGTTATGAAGTTGATATAACTTGTAATATATATATATATATATATATATATATATATATATATATATATATATATATATGTATATATATATATATATATATATATATATATATATGTATATATAATCAGTGTATGTATGAATGTTTCTATAAACTGTTAATAAATTGAATATTTTTTTCTTTAATATTTTTTTTAAGTAGTTAATCTTATTTGAAAAATATTCTAAATTTGTTGAAAACATTCAATCCTGAGAGTCCAACTACTAGAGCTACTTTAGATCTCCATCTCCCGTCCCAATAGAACTGCATGTATACAAATAAATTTATACAGAGTATCTCAGTTCTTAATGGCCAAATTCTGGGGGTTGATAACAGACAAAATGTCCAGCAAAAAAGCCCATTTCATGTTCATGCATGGGTCAATTTCGAACAGAAAAGGAATTAAAAACAATTTTGTATTTTTCTTAAGGTGGCCACGTTTTTTATTAAATAAGAAGGAATTGCTCAAAAACTATTCAAGACAATTAAATATTAAGTACACAATCGTAAAATAGACAAAATTTTCTTTGAGGAAACAGTAATCAGTAGAAAAAAGGCCTTTTTAGTCTCAATAATTAAAATATTTTGTTTTAAATTTATTCAAATTTTTGCTTCTTCAATGATATTAATTTTTTTTTTCAGATGAAAATTCACACTATATTGTAAAATCAGATGTTATCCCTGAAGAGTCGAAAATTTGGATAAATTAAAAATAAATGATGTTAATTATTGATACTAAAAAGTACTTTTTTCTACCTGATAATAAAGTCTCTTTCCCAAAATCATCTTTTATGCAAACAGTAATTAAATGTACTAAGCTCAATGATAAAAGATACTTTCAGGAGTTCTAATAACGTAAAGCTTCCAAAAATTTTATTACTCCACACTTCCTAAAAACAGTGCAAGGGAAAGAAGTATTAGAAAAATCGTAAGTCATAAACAATTACACTAGCTGTATCTGCCCCATGTTTTCCCTCTAGTTCTGTATTTTGAATCTTGAAAATTCATAAATCTATCGAAATGTGGCCCCTCAACAGTTCAAAATCTCATCAAAATGTGCCTCTTAAAAACTTTGATGGCACGAATTGCGTTATGAAATTTCTTTCTGATGACACTTGGGCCTGGAGGTTCCTCAGGAGAACTTCTAAATAAACTTTTCACCAGCTCCTTCATATCATTAGTTAGCTAGCCACTTCTTTACTTAAATGAAGAAGTGGCTGGGTAAAGTGCAGCAGCTCTTGGGACTTCTGTAGACCTCATATACAGTTTGACATAAATTCTTTGTGAAGTTAAACACGTCTCAACATACTCTTTCATAAGGCATTTTAGAATAAATATTGTTCTGTCTCTTGAAGAGTTCTAATTCTAAGAACCTGCGGATCCAGAAATTTTATGAGGGGAGAAGGCTCTTGTGAACCAGGTGAATTCCGTACTCCAAAGTTTTATGTGTGTAGTTTTTATTATATAAGGTAGTGTTGATCCCCTTCTCACTTGAAAATTTAAAACATCAAATGTTTTGTTTACGTTAAGCTAAGACTAGTGTCCAATAATGTCCTGTGGTATTGAACGATTACTGATGAGTAAGTGTTTATTTTGTGGAAGATTATAGGTCTTAGTACATTTAATTATACTAATTAAAGTTCTGCATAGACAGCAGGGTGACCGACAATAGAGTTATTATTGAGACGGCCTTCCATCCAAGTACCTACCTTGATTAATGGCTTTTATTGCCAAGCTCCTTACTCCGCTCAGCTTATTGTATGAGTATAAAGTATTAATCAAAGCTAATTGTTTAATACATTCATTTTTCAATTATTTAATTATAATAAAAGCATCGGGTTTGTAATTACTTTTTTCAAGATAAATTTTTTTCTCACCTTCCTTGGGGAGAGGGGCATGTGTGTGTTCAACATTCCTTAAATTTGAAAATGAATTCTATGAAAGAGAGTTGGAAACGTCACGATATAAATTAATTCTACTTTTTGTAATTTCAACGAATGACAAACACCGATTAGCTGACGTTTCAGGGTTGTCATATCAGACCTACCCGAAGAATGTCTATAATCGAATGATGAAAAGTCTAATGGTCTTCTCGGGAGTTCGATTTACTTTACAATGATACTTTGAATCTGAAAAAGTAATAGTACAAAATATCATAATCAAATAATGAAGGAATACAATGACGACACAAAGCGTCAACATGTATGTACCTTTAAATTTGAGATATGTTGAATCTCGCAGAGTATTGTTGCCCGAAAATGTCTGTCCCTGATTTTCCCCCTGACGCTAACGATAATCTTCACTTGATTGTGCGAGAGGAATTTAATATGGCAGAGCCGAACTTTATCTTTTTTTTTTCATTATTTATTTATTTTTAATGGCACTAAAGCCCGTTGTGGGCCCTTCAATGAGCCTTCGCCAGGTGGATCGATCCTGTGCAGCCGCTCTCCTATTCCTTACTCCCAAAAGAGCCTTAGCATTTTTCATGGCCGCGTCTTCTTCTTGACCGGTCCAGTTTTCCTAATAGTAGTTTCTTGGGAATTTCTTCCTCGTTCATCCTCTCTACGTGGCCTGCCCATCTCAGTCGACCACAATTTATAAAACAGACGACGTTCGCTCCCCCAAAGAGTTCTTATACCTCCTTGTTACAGCGCCTCCTCCAGTGATTCCCTTCATTCTTAATGGTTCCAAAAATTCGGCGCAAAATCTTTCATTGAAAGATAATAAGTTCTTTTTCTTCTGATCTACTCAGGGTCCACGTCTCTGTACCATATATTAGCATCGGTCGTATTAGTGTTTTATAAATCTGGCGAGATAAGGCCTTACTGCTAAGTAGTTTTCCCGGGCCAAAATAACAGCAATTGTCCTTTCGTATTGGTTGGCCGGTCTCAAGAGGTAGCAGATTTGAATAGCTAAAGTATTGACTCCAAATACGTAAATTGGGCAACATTTTCGAATGTGAGCGGTCCAATTGTGACAGGTTCCTTGATTAAATTATCCGTTCCTGTGCAAGCTCTCATATATTTAGTTTTTTCCTGGTTAATAGCCCCATATCTGCAGCTTCTTCTATCATGTTAAGAAAGGCATCTTTTAAGGCTTTAAAAGATCTATCTACAATATCTATATCATCTGCGTAGCCAAGCATCTGTCTTTCCAGTCTTTATTACCCTCTCCAAGGCAAGATTAAATGGTAAGCAAGCTAGGGTATCTTCCTGTCTCAATCCTGTATTTGTGATGAATTCGGGAGATAAATCCAGTTGCACCCGGACTTCACACCTAACTTATCGTAATTTGAATTAGGTGGTTGAGTTTGGATATTATTCCGAACTCGCTCAAGTCTTTATAGAGCTTAGGCCTCTTAATGCTGTCATATGCGCTTCGGAAATCAATAAAAAGGTGGTGTATGGCCATCTTATTACCTCATACATTTTTCGAGAATCATATGCAGTCCGAATATCTGATCCACCGTAGATTTACCCTCTCTACTCCGAGAGCCCGTGCGAAACAATCGACATTGTTTGATGAAAACTTTGAAAGCATTTTTTTAAATATAACATTTATATTTTTAAAAATGATAGGATGTCAGTCGGGTCATGCTACCTGTAAAAATGGCGGCTGATTTAAAGAATATTAGACCCCTTGACTTGAGGATCGAAACGGAAAATACGTTGCGAAAAATGTCGGAAAATGTTTATTTTTAAACTTGTATAATATATATATATATATATATATATATATATATATATATATATATATATATATATATATATATATATATATATATATATAATTTTTTATTTTTTGTTATTCTCAAGGGACTTTGTCCCAGGATAAAGTTTTTCTACTATTATTATATTATTATAATAATATATTATAACAATAATAATTATTATTATTATTATTATTAATTATTATCATTATATTATAATAATTTTCTATTATTATAATATTATATTACTAGTAAGCTCGTGCGAAAAATTCGCACAGCATATTGTTTTCAAATGTTTAATTATTAAGAAAAAAAATAATGCAACGTATCAAAAGATTAAAAAAATCAATTGTTACTTGATCGATAAATATAAACGACAAACGAATCAAAAATTATTTTAAATCTTCATTAATGTTTGGGACCAACATGTTTACAAATTTCAATAAGCTGTATCTTTGCTAAAAATTGTCCGATTTCGATGATTTTTTTAACCTTTTGTAGGGAATTTAGTAATCTTTTATATAATCATGGGCATAACCAAGTGAAAAGTGTGTAATTTTTTAGTCATTCGAAAATAAAGTGTGTTCTCTTTCATAACTTGTTTGCCTGAATTTTCGGATTGATTGGACTATTTTGCCCGCCTGATGGGGATGGGGATATATTAAATTACTTTTATTTAGGCCAGATGTAATCTTTTAATTTTTGTTCTAATTTGTTATTCTCAAGGGACATAGCCACATGATAAAGTTATTTACTATTATTATTAAATAAGGGTTCAGGTATGTAAAAAAATGCTAATGTAGGCCACCAAGGGAACAATTTTTACAGCCAAAAAGGCCAGATTATTTCGATATTTTTTTATATAATCTGTTATAACTCCTAAAGGTTGCATCGAAGCTCAAAACATAATGTTTACGAAATTAAAGAACGTTAAATTGTGCGTCGAATAAGTACCTAAAGTTAATAATTTGGTTAAATGCTATGGGAAATAAACACGGTCAACCAACGCTGATTTTGACCAAATTCGTCAAAAACAGATAAATTACTACTATGGTTAATTCACGTCCAGAGCTCGGGGTTAGAAATTGTTTCAGGCCACCATACTTGCAACATGTTCAGCAGACATCTATTGACGATTTTCGGTAAAAGTACGGTAAAGTACTTTCATCAAAAATTCTGAAGGACTCCATTGGGGAGGAGGCAGTCTAGAAAGCTTTTTAGGTAACACTAGTAAGGGATATTTAAGATCATTTT